TAGATTCCGCTGCGTTAGGATTTATTATTCAATAGATTTGAATGTGCACATTGTCGACGTTCTTAATAGAACCCAACAACTTCAACCTCATCCTCCTGATGTGGTTCTTCCTCGACCTCAGATTCTTCCTCATCAGAATTAGCAACTTCGATCACAAAAGCTTGCTTACATTGATGGCCTGGTGTAAATTTTTCTTCACATTTGAAACAGAGGCCTTTCTCACGCTGGCGTTTGACCTCTTCGGGAGATAGCCGCCTGATTACTGGCCCCGGTGGTCTGGCATCGGTGGCCGGTCGTGCGCCTGAGGTCGAATGGATTGGGCCTGTGCATTGGGTATCGGTATATCGGCCGTCCGCCCGTCCCCTTCAGGTTGCAACTAGATGGTCTTCGCGGCGTCGGGCTACCTCCATGGTTGTGTGCATCGTGTCTGGCCGCTCCAGTCGGACCTCTGCGGCTAGATCGAACTTTAGCCCACCTATGAAAGCTCCCACCAGTGCATCCTCGTGCCAATCTCGCACGCGGCAGGCTAAACGCTCAAACTCCTTGATGTACTCGCGCAAGCTGCCCATCTGGCGTATACGTGCGAGATCCTCATTGTAGTTATAGTAATCGGATGTGCCAAAGCGTGTGAGCAACTCCCTCTCAAAGTCGGCCCATGTGATGGCATGCTGCCGCTTATGGTAGATCCTTGTGAGCCATTGCCACCATACATTGGCCTCACCATAAAGATAGAATGCTGCGTACCTTACTCGGTCATGGCCTTCGGTTTCGTTGAGTTCGAAGTACTGCGCAGCACGGTTGAGCCAAGCCTCCGGATCACTACCCGTGAATGCGGACATCACGAATCTTAGCTTGTCGGGCCTCGGTCGATCTCGGTAGTTGGATGCCTGCGATCGCTGTTCGAACTCGTCCTCCTGCTCGTAGTCACCGCATCGTCGTTCCCCGTCACGCTGCTCGTGCGCGCGCCGCTCCTCACGCCGTGGCGATGGCGTGCACTTGTCGTGCTCGGCGTGTCGGCGGTGTTCGCGCCTCGGAGGGATGTCGTGCTGCCGTGGTGGTTGCTACTGGAACGCTCGCAGTACCTCTTCTAGGCGCTGCTCAAGTCGTGCCACGGCGGCGTTAGTGTTGCCTTGGCCTTCGTCGAGCGATCCAAGCCTTACCTCCATAACTTCACTCATGCTTCGCATCTAGATGTCAAGATTATCGATCTTGTCCTTCATCTCTTTATTGGCCATTGCTTTGTTTTCTTCCCTACGCTCTTTGCCTCGAGGACTCGTGATGATGATGATATATATATATATATATATATTTTTTTTTTTTTTTTTGATAGGGGGGACGAAAAAGAGAAAATAAAAAGAAAGGGAATGGGATAGAAGAAAAACACACGATCTAACACCTCTCAATGAAAGCACTAATGATGAAGATCGTGTGTTCCGATTGCTGATAAGCCACGAACCCGCGCCTTGAATCGCCGATAGGTGTTTCTTTAGCCACAAACGCGCCTGTTAAAATGAATAAAATTGCAATAGAAATCTAGAAGAAATCTAAGACAATGTGTTTGAACAGAAGTTTGGATTTTTATTGATAAACTTGATGATGAATAATAACATAGGGAAGGGGCCTTTATATAGGCACAAAATATGTCTAAGCCTAATCTACCTAGGGAACTAATAAAGCAATAAAATATTAGAAATCCTAAACAAGCTAGAAATTATAGTACTAGATGGAAACTATAAGCTTAACTTGCACACCAAGTAATCTCTCTCTTCTCGGCTGCCTCGCACACCGCCTAAGTCCCAGCCGCCCGCGCGCCTTGCGTAGTACTCGCAGCACTAGGGCACGCCACCTTGCTGCGCGTGTACTGGAGCCCGGCGTGCTGCGCACGCTAATGCCGCCCGCGCCACCCTCTCGCGCGTGATCGCCCGCCAGTCCGCACGCCTTGAGGACTGGGGCTTCTTGCCCAGCGCGTGCACCTCCACCCAGCGTGCTGCGCACGTCCTCGCCCTCGGCTCCACTCGCGCACGCGTGTTCTCTCCGCAACGCCAGGTTGCCGCACTCCTCGAGGCATAGGGCTTCAAGCCCCGCACGTGTTTCTCAGTAGCGCGCATCTCCAGCGCTCGCGCCTGCTGCGCCCTTTGCCCGCGTGTGCTGCGCGCCCACGCCTGCGACACCGCGCTTGCCCGTCTCGTGCGCTAGTCGCGTGCAGTCGTCCTTGCCCGTTGATTGGCTACCCTTGCGCTCCGTGCGCGTCTCCTGCTCCAGGACGTGCGTCTTGCCTGCGGCCCGTGCCATTCTATTGCGTGCGTGATAGGCACGACTTGCGGCATTCTTGAGCTGCCTATCCACTTCCGTATCACCTGCGCGTTGCGCCCAGCGCCCATGCGCTCCAATCGCCTACCGCGCACCGGCTGCTCCCCGCGTACCGCTGGCCTCCGTGGTTTGTTCGCATGTCGCGCACCCGCGTGCACCTACCGACGCCCGTGTGCGCTTCACCCGATCGCGCGCATCATCATCGTCCATTCACACAACGTCCCATAGCAATCTTCGGCACGCATCTTCTGTTAGAGGTATGCTGTAGAAGCTCCAATTTGCAGATTCTATCAATTCCATTTTGATCTGGCCATCATGTTTCGGTCAAAGTACATATGCTTGCAGTTTATTTATTTATGCAATCATACTCCTTGTCTTGCATTGAGATAGTGTGGTTCGAAGTGTTTCGAACATAAAGATCACCTATTGGTTCCTTGTAAGACTAAACTATTTGTTCACAGTCTAGACAGGCAGTGAGACCCCTCTTGGAAAAAGACTGTAGTGTGTTCTTGATTCAGTTGGTCTTTGACTAGAGAATTACACTAGCACTTATGATAGGTGTTGAACTGGACCACGGAAGGATATGATTATGAGACTCACTGATCGTTGTTGTAATCTAGACCTTTAGTAATTGATGCGTACTCTTAAGC